AACAGAAACATAAAACATATTTCTCGTCTCATTTCCATAATAAAACAAGTGAACGCTAATGTTAGAAATCATGAATCGATCAAAGTTAGATCACCATTAGAAACCTGGTGTATGGGACTCATCAGTGACATCGCGCATCCACAACTCCTGATGCTCACCGATTTGAACTGAAGGTCTTCTGTCTTGAGCACGAACGCCTAACCTTTGCACCACTGGGCCGGCATCTAACAGTGTTATTGTCTAACTTCGATCAATTCCCGTCTATATGTTGCTTCCATATTTATCAAAGTACCGTGTTATGTGTTAAAGACTATCAGAAATTTTTTCAATTAAAGTTATGAAGAACTCCATAAGTCTAATTGAGAAAAGGAAAAAATTCATACAATTTGCTCACTAGTGACTACCTCCATAAGGAAATTTCCGGATTTCTAGTGAGAAGACGTGACCAGTGGAGTTCAACCCTGTCGTCTGTGAGCAGTAACTACCGATGATATTTATAGGTGAGGTTGTGCGAAATCCTTAAATCGATAAGAGTTATACATAAACAGTATTATATGTCGGCTCAGTTGTCTAGAAGTTAAATGTTCGCTCTCAGGAACGAAGGTCCTAGGTACGATTGATGCGATTAGCAAGAGTCGTGGATGTACACAGCTGATCAGTCCCATCCAAGGACGAAACGCACGTCTTTCACTGCTTCCAGGTTTCCAATATTGGTCTAACAATGATCGATTGGTGATTTCAATGTGTAAAAAAATATCAGAAAGACTCATCAACAATGAATATATTTTGAAATGCCCGATAAACGTTTACTTTGACTGCTAACCGGTCACTGCATAAAAACGTAACATACTCAATACAAACAAACAACTTCTCTTCGATAAATAAACAGAGTAATCAATTAAATTCCATTATAATAAATTCTTTTAGTTTTCTTTAAAAACTCACTTTCATTTTAAGTGAATAAGTTGTTTTGCATGACATTAAATAAAACAACTTTTCGGTTTATTTGTTTTAATTCAATGAAGTTTAGTGTTTTTTTAAAATTCATTTTTAATTGAGCATTGAATCGGTAATTTGTTTGTTTATATTAATTGATTTATTATGTTCTGAGAATTAAAAACACATTCAAATTAATTATTGATTAATCATTAGGACAAGTTTCGTTTGTAGTTTATTTTTCTTTTTTGATCACAAATCAGTAATGAGTCATTAAAAAGAAATGACACCAGCAAATTTATTGATTTTTGACTTTTTTTTATCCAAATATTTTGATTTGACAATGAAATCAAATCAGTTACCTTCAAAATCTGTGTGGTGAGCAATTTGCATTAAAACGACTTGGTTGTGATTTATTGATTACTTACTTATTTACCGACGCCTGTTACTCCTAATGGAGCATAGGCTGCCGACCAGTATTCCTCAACCTACTCTGTCATGCGCCCTCCTTTTCATGCTCTATCCAATCGCTGATCATTGTTTTCATGTCTGAATTGGACTGACCACTCTACATCAACTTAATTGACTAAGAGAAGATAGTCAACATTGCACGGAATTCTTATGTTGTATTAAACTACAAAGTCGTGCATGGAGGACAGATGACAGAGTCAGTGTGAGTGAAGACCGCCCAACCTTTCTCTTTCTCCCAGTGATCGGTTGAATTATCAAGATGTCAACATCTGGAAGGAAGTATGGTATATAGTGAACAGCCTGGATGCAGCTGAACTATCTGCACTTCGCAGATGACCTGGCTCTTCTGACGCACACCCAACAACAATTGCAAGATAATACGATCAGAGCAGCAGCAGGTTTCAGCAAACATAAAAGGAAAAGCGAGATTCTCCGGTACAACAAAACATGCACCAACCAAATCACACTTGATGGAGATGCTTCGGAGGATGTAAGAACCTCTACATATCTGAGCATTGTCAGTGGATCTGATGCAGATGTTAGGGCTTGGATCCGGAAAGCAAGGGCTTCATTTCTATAACTGAACAACATCTGAAAATCTAAACACCGAAGTCAGAATTTCCAACACAAATGTCAAGACAATTCAACTGCATTCGGCGGGAACTTGGAAAACTACCAAAGCCATCATCCAGAAGATGCAAGTATTTATTAACAGTAGTCTACGTTGGCCAAACACCATAGGCAACAACCTACAGTGGGAGAAAACAAACCAGATTCCAGGGGAGGAATAAATCAGGAAGAATTGGTGGAAGTGGATAGGACACATACTGAGGAAAGCACCCAACTGCGTCACAAGACAAGCCTATGCTCCGTTAAGGGTAAGAGGCGTAAGTAAGTAAGTAAGTAAAACTTTAAAAATGTATTTCATAATATATACTTGTTAATGAGACGATTTCACACTTCACAAGTAATAACGTTCTACTTGAATATTGAAATGTTTATTTTAACGTTGATTAATTATGAGGAATATTTGTCAGCGATAAAAAGCATTTTTCGTATAAATTGAAAAACGATTTGTGTAAACTATCTAACATGTAAATATTGTAACATATGATAATACTAAATTTTAAAACTTTGAAATGAGAATTTGAAGGCAAATGTTTAAATGATTCAACTGGATTGTTTGTTTGAGTGGTCATCTGAACTTACTAGTCGATTGAATAATCAAATAGCGCTGGAAGCGTAAGGTACTGGGTTCAAGTCTCGGAGTGAACATCATCCCTGAGATGCAGATAAATCCATGTAAAGATGAATCCCAAGTGCGATGAAACGTGCATTGTGGATTCCCCTGCTAGCCACTATCCATCTCTACCAATAATGCCTATAACCTTAAGGCGATATCAAGGCGATCCACACAGGATACAATATATGCCGCTAAATGAAACTGACCGATTGCAACCCTGAAAAAAATCGATAGGAAGATACATACAACCGATACAAATGAATTATTCAAGTAATATTTGTTTCTGTTGCATAGGATACCCTCCTATATTATTTATATAGATTGATATTCATTTTGTTACAACAACGTTAGCATAGTTCCCATCCATTGTTATCGAAATCACATTGATCAGTTAGTGTGAACATACTTCACTACTCTATATATTTTATGATTTCCTACACTATCGAATAATAAAATAAAGCAAACTAGTAACACAAAATATCGAATACCATTAGAAAATAGTTTTCTCTTTCTGTGTTGTACACGTATATACACATGTCTATTCATACATGTGTAATATGCTTGAAGTGAATAAGTTCGTTAGTTTACTGATATTTATATAACCAAATTAACACAAACAACATACACTCTTGGATTTCACTGCTAGTCATTTCGCAACTCTGTTTAAAAACGTTTAAATAGTTTTTTTTCACCTTCAATGTGAGAAAATATTTGTTTGATTTCACAACTAATTGATTTAATCCCTTTAGTAATTATTATATAAGATATGGCATTCTTTACCTGGCTTTGTTTTGAACACTTAAGGCTTTAATCATCTTAACTACTTGTTGGGGACATAAGATCCCCAGAACTTGCTTGATAAATCCCTTATTTTGGATTTTATATTTCCGAGCATGGGCAGATCAGTTCACCTTGAGATTTCATTTCCCACCAGGAGAATCCTTGGCTGTGTTTGGCTGCTGTGTATTTTAGTGTGCTATTTTCTCAACTGTCCCAAGGACGTTTCTATGATGTATAAATAAACGAGAGTTGTATGTTTGATTGTATTGTGTGATTGCTGGGTGTTTGTAGGATATACTTTCTACGCTATATCAAGACTTCTCTTTAGCCGTTACGAGTCAACGGATCATGGTAGCCTACCTGGATGCTTGTTCATTGTCTAGTTCTAGTTTATCGACTAAGGTGAACCCGTAATAGTTTCAAGCATACTCAATGACGCACCTAACACTACCATGATTAATATCAGGCTTCGTTATTGTGTTTTAATTTATGAGTATACTCTGTATAGTTTTGAATTGATTTCCAATGTTTATGGTGTGCGACATTTTGTTCACAAGATTATCATAACTTTAGGCAGTTTGCAACCAATTAGAAAAGACTCGAAATACAATAGATTCAGTTTATTCTGAATATCTGATGTTATTTCGTTTAGTATTTTAATTGTCGAAATACTACTACATTATTTGTTACTCTGAATACAATTTTTTTAATCAATTTTTTTCAAATCGTTCATGCTTATTGATTATTTTAGTCAAAATCAGTCTCTAATGAAAACTACAAAACTACTTACAAAATGAAACATCTTTACAAATATTTCATAGTATTTACAACAGGAATTTAATTAATAGTTACTGTTTTTTGAAAAAAATATTTCATAACTTCTAATAATATATCAAGGTTGGGTAGATTTCAACGATAAAAGAAGTAAAAAAACGAGACTCATCTTCTTCATCAGATAATAATTTCTAAAATTGAACATTGAAATTTTCAGGCAGAATCATAAATAATTCGATCACAGTTCAATGGTTTTGAAGCTAAGTGATCTAAGCATACTATTCTCGGTTTCGATTGTTAGTGTACACTGGTGAGGAGATCGAAACTATGACAAAAGTATTATTTAACGCTTTTTGAATTTCATTGAATATCTCATTAATATAAACTGATGGTATGTTACACATTTTTGAAACCATGAATCGATCAATGTTAGACCAGCACTATTAGAAACCTGGAAGCACTGAGAGACGGCTGTTTCGTCCTGGTATGGGACTCATCAGTGGCATTGCGCATCCACGACTCCTGCACCCCGCAGGATTCGAACCAAGGACCTTCGGTATTGTAGGCGAACGCCTAACCATCGGACCACTGAGCCAGTATCTAACGGTGTTAATGTCTAACTTGATAAGTTGATGGATCTTTATGAAAATCTCATTCGCTGAATGAATTGTACTTGTTTTAACTGTTTTTCAGCCTAAAATTTCGATATAGTGCATTATTCAATGATAAATACATGTATATCACATTCTCAAAATTTTCTTTCTATTGTAGTTACATTCACAAGTTGTGAATAATATATTAACATGTGTTTTGGCATTTGGTATGATAGCAGTTTATAGTTGGATGCTTATTGAAGGCATACATTTAATGAATATATTATTCTTAACATTTATTGTTAGAAGATTTCGTTTCACTTGTTATAGTATTATTGGTTGGGGTAAGTTCATTCAAATAATTGTGATTTATTTTACTAAAATCTATTTTAGTTATATCATAGCGTTCTTAATCACATAAATCAATGATCAAGGTCCAGTTCGCTGTTACTGTATCACTGAAATTCCGAATCGATTATTTTTAGACTAACATTAGAAGTTTTATGTTTTGTGGATCTGGTTTTCGCCCGTCGCCACTTTTATGTTTTGTACTTGATGTAACGCCAAACCACTGTACTAATGACACCCGAACGTAAGACTCCTCCGTTCAAAAATAAGAAGACGGAAGACGTTGGAGAACACTTATTATCAGAATCAAAAATATACAATCAAACATGCGTATTTATACAATTATATAAATGTCGTTTAAATATTTTGAACATGAATCAAATAGTTCATCATGAACATTAATCATATAGTTCATCATCAATGAAATAGTTTATCATGAATATTAATTATATAGTTCATCAATCCACAATGTGCGTGGCTTTCTTCTCGATTGGCTATCCCAACAAGAAGCTCGGAAGCACTTGACAGCAGTGCGCAACCACAAATTCCGTACGCCAGAATCGAACCCAGGGCCTTCGGTCTTGTGAGCAAATGCTTAACTTCTAGACCACGGAGCTGACATCCAACTGTGTCAATGTCTAACTTTGATCAATCTAAGATACTGCACAACCTCACGTATTGTCTTCCGTAGGCAACTGCCCATATCCTACAGGTTTGAACTCCACAGGTCATGGCTTCCTGTCAGTCAGTCAGTCAGTCAGTTGCAACGTAGAACTTCGTGCGTAAGTACATCAGTTCATGTCGCCATACCGCATCAGCACAGAGATGTAATTGTCAATTCAAATCCAATAGTAGAAGAGGTAGTAAAGGTACTAGAAGTAATCGGAGAGGTTAGCATTAGAAGATATTATTCAAGAAGTATGATTCAATGAGATAAGTTTAGAAAGTAAAAACTGGAGATGTTGAAGAATCCAGAAGATTAGGATTTGAGAGAACACAAAGAATAAATGCACCGGCGCCATTGCGAACGATTTTGAGCCATGTCATTCAAGGTCTCTAGCCATCGATTATTATCATCTCGCGGACCCCAACCAAGTAGTCGACAATTACCGACATGGATAAGTCCACTCGTCAATGACTTCATGGATTTATGGCATGTTTTGGTCTGGCCGCCCCTAGCTTTCTTCCAACCTATTCCTACACTACAAAACAAGGCTCGACGAGGCAGTCGGTGGTTAGGCATACGCAACACGTGTCCCAACCACCTCAACTGATGAAGTTTCACTACTGCGTCTATTGATCTGCCATTCTTACCTAGTACCCGTTCCCTAATAACCGCGTTGCTCACTCGGTTGTCCCACGATATACGAGCAATGCTTCGAAGACACCTATGATCGAAAACCAATAACCGACGAGTATCTTCTACTCTCATTGGCCATGTTTCACAGCCATAAAGTAAGACGAAGCGAACCACTGCGCAGTACACTCGTCCTTTAGTCAGCAAACGGATATCTCGCCTACGCCATAAGTGACGCAGGTTGGCTTCCTGTATATCAAGATTAAACAGTACATCTGTACGATTTCTAGTGACCATGAAACATCATAAGTACTTTCATATGTCTAATCAAAATGATATGATGGCACAAGAAAACCTCTCCGAATTGAAATATTTGATCACAGACCTATTAACGTATTTAATGTGTTCTGCTTAAATCTGCAGGTATTCCAGCTGTGTTGACATCCTCTTGGGCAATAGCGAAATCAGTTAAATTAGGATATGCACAGTAAGCTACTTCATTTATCATTCTTTTTATTCATATATATATATATATATATATATATATATATATATATATATATATATATATATATTAACAATTTTGATAGACCTCCAATGAACGTAATAGGAATCCGTTAATCAGAAACAAATTTTTGTTCTAGTCAGATTTATCGACCAATCAACGAGTATTATGTCTTTTAGAAAAAAGACGAATCACCAAAAATGTTCAAGCATGATAACAATTTACTGTTCGAACATGATGGAAAAAAGAAACATCTACATTATCACAGAATAACTCGTTCGCCGACTGAAATGAATAAAAAATATTCATGAATTTCGGTGTATTGTCGTTCAAACACTGATTACAACACAGCATTTGTACTATTAGTTAAAATACGTTAACCTGAAGTAAACTAAACTCTATTTTACACGTGTTCACATGTACTTACTTACTTAATTACTTACGCCTGTTACCCCAAATGCGGAGCATGGGCCGCCCACCAATTTTCTCCAACCAACTCTTTCCTGCGCTTCACTCACCAGTTCTGTCCAATGTTTGTTCATTCCTCTCATATCTTTCTCTATTTCTCGGCGTAATGTGTTCCTTGGCCTTTCTCTTTTCCTTTTGCCTTGAGGGTCCAAAGTGACGGCCTGTTTTGTGACGCAGTCAGGTGCTTTTCGTAGTGTGTACTATCCACTTCCATCGCTTCTTCCTGATTTCCTCCTCCACTGGAATCTGGTTTGTTCTCTCCCACAGTTCGTTGTTGCTGATGCTGTCTGGCAAACGAATCCGAAGTATTTTGCGTATACAACTGTTCATTTAGTACCCTTCAACTGAAATAGATTTGAACAATTTCAGCACAATGGATTGCGAAATCTCCACAACTCTATGTGCAATATTTCAAACCATTCTTTGTTTCGTTTTTTTCCGGTAGAAAAACACAATTAAACATAAAAAAACGATGTTATCGTTATTGTCAGAAACTGCCGAATCCGAAACTATTGATATTTATATATAGCCTTCAGGTTACAAGCGTTATTAGTAGACGTGGATATTAGCCAGCAGTAGAATCCAGGATGCGTGTTTCGTCCCATTCGATACTCGTCAGCTAGATGCGCCTGCTTCTCCGGGACTGAAACCTCACTAGCTTAAGCCTCAAAAGCCATCGATTTATCCACTTAGATACTCATTTCGGGATAATCACTCGCTTGTGCGATGAGACGAAGACTATTTCATTTATATTGCTCACCAGCTGACGAATCGCGAAAGTGACGAAACGTGCGTCCGGGATTCAACTGTGGTAATCAATCATATCATTGTTAATTTTGCTATTACTAAGCATAACTGTTAACTCCTGTAAAAATTCAATAAAAACTAACTGCCAAACATACTTTGAATAACTAGCATTCATGCAAAATATATGAGAAAAATTCAAGAGATATCTCGTTCTAATCAACTAAATCTAATCAGTTGATTACCAACTTTATTATTTTTCACTAAAAACTTTCAAAATCTCTAGATTACTTATAAAGTATCGTTATTTTCTATGCATGATCATATCTTTGACGTACAACCTCCATATATTTTTCATACCTTCCGTTTTCTGGCCGCAGTATAAAAATAAAATGATTTATGATGTCTAAAATTTTAGAATATGACGATTTTGAAGTAAAAAATCGATCAATTTACATTTCAATTAATGTTAGTAATTTTTCCGTTAGAGTTATGAAGATTATTGTTTCCAAATACTGAAATCATCAGTCAGTCATTGTTAGAGTACATCATTAAAAACCCGGAAGCACTGTACGGCCGTTATTCCCTGCTATGTGACTCATCAGTAGCAGTGCGCATCCACGAGTACTGCACCTAACAGGATTCGAACTAGGGACCTTCAGGATTAAGAAAAAAATTCTCGTAGTTCTAGTGAGAAGACGTGACCAGTGGAGTTCAACCTTGTCAGGTGTAGGCAGTAACTACCAAAGAGAAATAGGTGAGGTCGTGCAAAATCCATACAACAATCAGAGTTAGACATACACACTGATGGATGCCAACCCAAAGGTCCAGAGGTTAGGCGTTCGCACACAATACCGAAGGTTCCGAGTTCGAATCCTGCGAGTTGCAGGATTCGTGGATGCGCACTGCCACTGATGAGTCCCATACCAGGATGAAACGGCCATCTTTCGTTGCTTCTAGATTTTTAATGGTGGTCTAACAACGATTGAATGATGATTTCAAATGTGTAAAAATGTTAGTAATTTCTATAAATCCTAAGCAAGAATAATATATTTCCTTTTTTTACAGTATAATCTTTAAAATAATAATGAGATAAACACTTACTCTTTTATCTTTTGTCTCTATTAATGTGTTCGATCACTCTGTATCAAGTCTATGGACTGAACCAACAATATCAGATCCTGAAGGAATACTTGTTGTCACATCAATTCTGATTACACTCGCAGTAAGTAGTTAATTAGATGAATAGATATTATTTTTCCGATTGTTATCTTTTTCTTAAATTTGAATTGTAGCAAATATTTCATTCTATTCAATGCCTAAATCAGCTGAATGCATCTACATCACAATGTCAGTGCGTACAGTCAAGTTCACTAAGCCAGTATCTATTTTTCCAAACACCTGTAGTGAATTTAGTTACTGCGTGTTCTTAATATTCTTAATTAGCTCGTCTAGACCATCATTTCTAAATAACGTCTGATGGTTGAAAATCAGAAGGTGAACTCGTAGTGATGAATACGTTTATTCGGGACACACCACAAAGCGAAGCGAATAACCAGTGAATAGAGCGAATGAAGCGACGTGAATTGGAGAAGACTGTTGAGCCAACTCCTAGGATTACAATGCGAACGAATGGGCGAAGGAAGCGAATGAACAGGTGAAGAGCGTTGGAGAAGGCTAATGAGCCAACTCAAAGAAATAAAGCATGACTAAGAATATATAGTCAGACGAAAACAAGACAGACATATGATCAACGAGGTAGGCATGCACACACACGAATAAAAGCTGACAAGGTCAAATGACAAGTGGAACACGTCATGTGAGCTCATACAAACCAGACAATAATCAGAACGAACGGTACATATAAATTGTAGCAATACACAAATGGCTTGGTTTAATAAATTAATCGAAAGGGCTTAACCAATATAGATGTAAGCGAACTGGAATATATGTGTAGGCACCACACACGAATGCGCTCAATGTTTTCAATATTTATTGTTTAACTTTTCCAATTAGTGATATTCAGGAATGTAAATGTCCAATATGTTAAATAGTACAGCAGAAATGTAACATGAAAGGAAAAATATTCCAACAGAAACTAATTAAAATTTCTTCTATGAAAATTACTGCTAGGAGCGGCCAAACCAAAACATGGCAGAAATCCATGAAGTCACTGACAAATGAAATGAGTAATGTTGGTAGATCTAGGCTCCCTGGTTCGGGTCGTTGAGACGATAGTCACCGATGGTTAGAGACTTTGAACGACATGACTCAGAATCGTGTGCAATGGCGCAGGTGAATCCACTCTTTGTGTTCTATGAAATTCTAAGCTTCTTCATTCCTCCTTTCTCCTTCTGAATTTATCTTACTAAATTTTATATACTTCTCAAATCATATCTTCGCTCCCTTATCTTCTCCATTACTGCTAATACTTCTATTATTGCCATCACTCTTGGATTTGAACTGTCAGTTGCGTCTCTGTGTTGATGATGCATGGCAGCCTGAACTGATGTATTTACGTACGAGGTTCTGCGTTGTATCTGTCTGTCTGTCAGGAAAGTTACTATGGGATATTGCATATACTGATAAATTTTCCTAAAATTATTGGAATAGTTTCAGTGCTCAAAATTCCACACTGGCTAGATCTACTTTGCGGAAATAAACGAATATTTTTAGTTGCATTTTTTGCCCACAAAGAATTTTTTGACTAACCTATCAAGTAAAAACGTAATTGTTTAAAACAAATAGTCCCGTTTGAATTAGAACAATATAAAAATAAGATGTCAGTTGATTCGAAAAATGTTCTGATGTATTTGCGCTAGATATTTCAAACACACATACTAGTCATGACATTTTTTAAGGAAAATTAATAAAAGATCAATTAAATAGAAGTTCAAATGAATATAAAATGATAAATGGCATTATAGGATTGTGGAGATTGTTGGTTGATTTTGAAATCATGAATCGATCAATGTTAGACCACCACTGGAAACCTGGAAGCACCGGATGACTGTTTTGTTCTGGTATAGAGCTCATCAGGAATGCACATCCACGAATCCTGCACCTCGGAATATTCCGACCATAGACCTTTGGTGTTAAGCGCAAACGCCTAAACTCTGGACCACTGGGCCTGCATCTGACGGTGTTAATTTCTAGATCTGATCAATCTAGAGGTTTTGTGAGACCTCACCTATTTGTCTTTGGTAGTTACTGCATACACCCGACAGGGGTGATGATGAGTCCCATAACAAGACGAAATGGCTATCCAGTGCTTCCAGGCTTCTAACGGTGGTTAAGCAATTACTGATTGATGATTTCAACATCTATATTTGTTTCAATAATAGCAAAAACCAGTGATAATTGATATTATAGGATTTTAGAGATTGTGGGGTGACTTTAAATCATGAATTGATCAATCTTAGACACCCTTTAGGAGCCCGGAATCGCTGGATGGCCGTTTCGTCTTGGTATGAGATTCATCATCAACCCTGTCATGTGTAGGCAATAACTATCAAAGAAAAATGGGTGAGATCGCTCAAAATTTCTAGATTGATTCGAGTTAGACATTAACACCGTTGGATGCCTGCCCAGTGGTCCACAGGTTAGACGTACGCGCTCAAAACTTAAGGTCCTAGGTTCGAATCCTGTGAGGTGCAATAGTTATGGAGTGCTCACTGCCACTGATCAGTCCCATACCAGGACTAAACGGCCGTCTTTCAGTGCTTTCAGGTTTCTAATGATGGTAGTCTACTAACAATCATTTATTCATGATTTCAATGTGTAAACAAGATTCATTATTAATTGCGTTGAAAAGATTTAACCCAACATTTCTATTTCACCGATTTACTATTTTTATCAAAAAATTTCAAAGATTTTAATGAACAATGAGAATTACATATCATGGACATATGTTCTGATTGATGGATATTTATAAGAAAAAAATGTTTGCAGTTTTTTTAAAAAAAATCACTGGAAGTATTTTAAAGTTAAATTAATTTTAAGAAAAATCATTTGATTTTCAGCCTATATTATATTTTATTCAGCTATTTGACGATATTTTGATCGAACAGTGAGAAGACGTTAGTTGATCTGAAAAATAGCGTGATGTATTTGCGCTATACATATTTTGAACAATTTGGTCACACATATTTACTTTTCAATTAGAGTTATGGAGATTATTGTTTCTTTTACACATTTTAAAATCATCAATCAATCGTTGTTAAATCATCAGTAGAAACCTGGAAGCATTGATCGGCCGTCTCGTCCTGGTATAGGGCTCATTGATAGCGCACATCCATGACTTCTGATCCTCGCAGGATTCGAATCAGGGACCTTCGGTATTGCGCACGAACGCCTAACCTCTGGACCTTTGGGTTAGCACCCATCGGCGTTAATGTCTAACTCTGATTGATCTAGGGATTTTACGCGACCCCACCTATTTGCCTTTGGTAGCTACTGCCTACAACTGACAGGCATGAACTCTACTGTTTACGTCTTCTCACTAGAACTCCGAGAATTGCCTCCCGTGCGCAAGGTCGAAGGTCCCGGGTTCGATTTCCACGTAGGGAGGTCAAGAATGTTCATCGTCACTAATGTTGTTTAATAAATTGAATTGATTAAAGTTAGACATTAAACCAATAGGAGTCCGGCTCATCAGTCTAGAGGTTAAGTCTCCAGCGCAAAACCGAAGGTCCTGCGTTTGATCTTTACTTGTGGAGGTCATGAATGCTCACTGTGACTGACAAGCTCCGTACTAAGACGAAACAGCTGTCCATCGCTTCCATGTTTCTAATGTCATTCTAACAATGATCGATTCATGTTTTCAATGATAACCATTTCTCATAACTAATGTTGAGAATAAACAAAAATTTTATCGAATTTTAAAACAGATTTAATTGAACATTGAATGATTTATGAAGAAATATTTCAAAATGAAATTAGTTAATTACTACTACTGAACGAAGCCTAATACGTGTATATAATCGAAATATCACATTTTTATTTATTTCTTGCGGATGTTAGATCCCCAAAACTCGCTTGATAAATGCCTTATTTTGGATTTCTCGTTTGCGAGCATGGGCTGATCAGTTGACCTTGAGGTTTCATTTCCCACCACAAAAATCCATGGCTATGATTGGCTGCTGTGTATTTTAGTGTGCTATTTTTGTGACTGTCCCAAAGACGTTTCTATGTTGTACAAATAAACGAGAGTTGTATACTTGATTGTATTGTGATTGCTAGGTGTTGTAGAATATACTTTCTACGCTTACCAAGACTTCCGTTTTACAGCTTTGGATTCAAGGTAGCCTATCTGGAGGCTGGTTCATTGTCTGGTTCGCGTTTATCGACTAAGGTGAACTTGTAATAGCTTCAAGCGTACCAAATGATGAACATAACAGTATTAATCAAATATTTACACACATGAAGTAAAATTTATGCGCCATGTTTTTGATCCTTCCCTTTTATGATATTCCAAAAAATAGATAAATATGGAATGAAATGTTCACAATCATACAATGTGGGTCGTGGATGCACACTGCTATCGATGAGTTCCATCCTAGGATGGAACGGCTATCTAATGCTTTCAAGTTTCTAATGGTTTTCTAAAAATGAGTGACTGATCTCCAAAAAAATTAGTTGTGCACTGTCGACTTAACAGACTAGGATTGTCATGAATCAAATAGATTACGGATAACATCTCTCATTGTCACACTACATGATGCGGGCTGAAGTCAAAGGTCAGTCAGTTCGTGAGTCAGTCAGATGCAATGTAGAACTTCGTATGTAAGTACATCAGTTCATGTCGCCATACCGCATCAGCACAGAGATGTAATTGTCAATTCAAATCCAATAGTAGAAGAGGTAGTAAAGTTATCAGAAGTAATCGGAGTGGTTAGGATTAGAATATATTATTCAAGAAGTATGATTCAGTGAGGAAAGTTTAGAAATTGAAAACTAGAGGTGTTGAAGAATCCAGAAGATTAGTATTGGAGAGAACACAAAGAATAAATGCACCGGCGCCATTGCAAATGGTTTTGAGCCATCTCATTCAGGGTCTTTAACCATCGATTATTATCATCTCGCGGACCTCAACCAGGTAGTCTACACTTACCAATATGACTCACTCCAGTTGTCATTCAACTCATGGATTTGTTCCAACCTATTCCTACACTAGAAAACAAAGCTTGTCGAGGCAGTCGGTGGTTAGGCATACTCAGCACATGTCCAAACCACCTCAACTGATGAAGTTTCATTACTTCATCTATTGATCAGCCATCCTTACCTAGCACCCATTTCCTAATAACAGCATTGCTCACTTGGGTGTCCCAGGATATACGAACAATGCTTCGAAGACACCTATGATCGAAAACCTATGAATATCTTCTAGTCTCACTGGCCATAAAGTCAAAGGTAGAGAGAGAGTCAATAATTTCTTTAAAATTATCAATAATTTCTTTTCACTTTTTAACCCACACAAATAGACAGCTTAGTAATTTGCCCTAGAGTCAAATTAATAGACAAGATACAGCTACATAACACGAGAAAGAAATAAAATGCTTTTCTAATTATAAAAGACAGATAGGTTGAATTTAATTATATGTTTCTTACTGAGATGAAAGTATAATTGCAGATTACTTAAAACTACATTCAAATATAAGTTAACGCATGACTATAGATGACGATACATTCTTCAAGTTATCGATAAATACATAATAGAATTTAGTAAACGCTTGCTACAAAACAACGAAAGTCAAAATATGTAGGCTCCATGTTTATTGCACATTCGATTACTTAGTTTTGTACTTTGAATAACAGGGAAAGCAAACTGTTCTAGCTTGATCAAAGAAATCATGGTTCAATCATTGTTAGATCATAATTAGAAACTTTTTAGCTCTGGTTGGCTGTTTCGTTTTCCAGTATGGTATTCTTCGAAAGTACACATCCACGACCATGTGAAACGAAACTGAGCTGAGGACCTTCAGTCTCACATGAGAACATGATACTTACTTACTTACTTACTTACCTACAATCAAGTATAGTCCAACGACCACGATTCTCCGACCTAGTTTTTCCCAAGCCTTCCATTCCAGTTCTATCCAATTTTTGTCCATTGTTCTCATGTTTGCCTCCATTTCTCGGAGTAATGTGTTGCTTGATCTTGAGGGTTCCAATTTAGGGCTTGGCTTGTAACACAGTTCGGGTGCTTTCCTCAATGTATGTCTCGTACGTAAATATGATAACGTAAATGATTTAAAATATTTGATAAATTGTATACTATTTAACATGAAACAAACTATACATATTTCTGTTTTGGTCCCAAAATTGAGTTTATTTCAAGGGGAAATATAAAAATCACAAATCTGATCATTACATTTAACAGGATAGGAATTTTCGTTTACTTCTAAAATCCTCATATTACTATTTTACACTCAACCAAAGTGTATATCCATATACAATCACTAAAAATATCAGTGGTGTAGTCTAAGTAACATAATTGTGTTGTTTATTTTTGGTTGAGAAATTTTTATTTATTCAAATAACAATAAACTGATGCACATAATCCTCTCAGTTATTAAAAAACTATTTAGAAAAAAATATACACTCTAGCTGAAGACGCATGTAAACACTTGGTAAAAGTCAGTCAGTCAGTTACAACGTAGAACTTCGTACATGAGTACATCACTTCAGTTTGCCATATACCATCGGCACAGAGATGCAACTGTCAGCTCGTATCATATAGTGGTAGAGATAGTAGAAGTATTAGCAGTAATGGAGAAGATTAGGGTTCGAAGACATGATTCGATAAGTATAATTCAGTGAGATAAATTTAGAAAGAGAAAGATAGAGATGATGAGAAATTCAGAAAGTAAGAATTTGAGAGAACACAATGAATGAATGCACCTGCACCATTTTCAAACGATTTTGAGCCATGTCGTTCAAGGTCTCTAGCCACTGGTGACTTTCATCTCGCGGGCCCCAACCAGGTAGCCTATATCTACCAATATGACTCAATCCAGTTGTCAGTGACTTCATGGATTTGTGTCATGTTTTAGTTTGGCCGCCCCTAGCTTTCTTCCAACCTATTACCACACTACAAAACATAGCTCGTCGAGGCAGTTGGTGGTTGGACATTCGTAACACATGTCCCAACTACCTCAACTGATGAAATTTTACTACTTCATCTATTGGTCTGCCATCCTTAACCAATACTCGTTTCCTAACTAAAGCATTGTTTACCTGGAGGTCCAAGTATATGCAGGCAATGCTTCTAAGACATCTATAATTGAATACTAATAACTTACTCTTACCGGCCATGTTTCACAGCCATATAGTAGAACCGAACGAACTACTGCGCAGTACACTCATGCTTTGGTTAGCAAACGGGTATCTAGCCTGTGCCATAAGTGACGCAGGTTGGCGAAAGCTGATCGAGCCTTCCGTATCCGTGCTGGGATTTCGTCAGTTACCAGGCCATCGGCACTGATGAGACCCAGCAGATAAGTGGGACGGTCAGAATGCTCGACTACCTCACTCCCAATCACAAGTTCAGGTACCGATGAGACCCAATCTTGAAGCAACATTTCGCATTTCGAGGAAGAGAACCGCATTCCGAATTTGCTTGCATTGTTGCTCAGGGTTGTCAGAAGATTATGCATTTTATCAGTGTCTTCACCGAATAGGACCATGTCATCAGCATATTCTAAGTCAGCAAGCGTGTCTACTGGTTAAAGGTCCACTCCTGAAGAGTCAGACGATTATAATGTTCACTCTAAAAGCAAATCTACGATAAAGATAAACAGGAATGGAGAGAGTGGGCAGCCCTGACGGACACCACTTGAAGTAACTAATTCCGATGACAGTTCGCCATAAGCTCTCATCCAACCGGTAGTGTTCGAGTAGAGAGTTGTTTAAGGCTAATGTACTGGGAAAGAAGGCAGTGAATGTTTAAAAACGAAATTCCACATCACGAACTGATTTCGGTTAAGCAATCACTGAAAACGAATTCAACACTTTTCCTAGTAGAGTTGTTTTTTTTGGGTAACTTAAAATTTAACAATCTTAACAACACTGATAATATTAATAATAAGAGGGAGAAGAAACCATTTTTTTTCGTGGAAAACTTCATCAACCAGTTTAAGATAATTACATAAATAGTGATAAAATCATGAATTTTCGCTCAATATGAAATGAGAAAAATTGTTTTATCAACATACAATACAAACGATTAGACTATGACATAATGTTACAACGCTTTCATATCTATCAATAAAAAAATAAAACAGGTTATGAATAAGTTAACGTCAGTTTTTTTTTTTTTTAAAAAAGACATTGAGATCAAGTGTTTCCGTTCCAGATTGAATAATACTGATAGAATTCGGTATTCATCTTGATTAAAAACTACTCGTTGACAGATGATATGAACATGTACTTTTCCCCTCATTAATAATGTATGATATGTATACATATATAGTGATGTAAGCGCAATTGAAGTTATCACATGACAAATGTCAGATAAAACTAAACTCAATTCATTTGAGGTGAATAACCTCCCACAATTGATTCTTTTCATTCATTGTCTGTAAGTATTATTTGCAATTTTACAATAAAATAAAATAATCAGCATAAAAATGTAGTAAGAAATAACTCAATGAACTCACTGATGAATAAGCTTAACCTTAACTCATTAAGTTTATGGTTTTAAAGGAGAAATGGAACATTGGGATTTACACATGTTGTAGTGAACGAGAACACAGGTGAGGGCAACCGAATTGTATTTAACGAAGATTACAGAGTTACTCAGTAAAATCGGAAAACCATATCGTAAATCGTTCATTTGCAAAATATCAGTTCATCATATCGAACTGGACTGTTTCTGTTGCAAAACATCAATCCATTGTCACTACTATTCATGCGTTTCATACAAATTCCATTGTGTTCTTCTAACTCTTCCTTTCTCTTGATCTTCCCCTTGATCTTCTGCTGCCAGACATTACGTTTTCACTCACGTCATATACTACTTATACGTATCTCGCACCACAATGTAACTACATTCTATTTAGTGTTTTTTTATTTCTAAATTGTTTCTCCTTCTTTTTTATCTTCTCCTACAATTTTAGGTAAATTTTCTCATCATGTTCATTACATTATTCATGTTATTGACAAAACTTCATGGACAACCAACTGGTATAGCTGGTGGTCGAAAATCTCGTGGTTGTCGAACAAATCTACTTAAAGATCAACGTTCACATGGAACATGTCCGTTGGGAATAATGTCAAATAATCCAATGACATTAAGTAAAACAATAACCACTCTAACAATGACACCATTACAACAAGGACTAAACAAATCGGACATGGAATTGCAGGTGAACAAACAGATCACTATAAAACAACAGGGAATCGAGACAATCAACTGTTATAATAATAATAATAGTCCAGTGATCACTACTAATACTACTACTACTACTATGACTACAACTACGACTACTACTACTATCAATGATAATAATCAGTTTGACAGTAATGCTGAAATAATGAATACCGATAATCAAACATCCAATGTATTGCCTAAAACAATCACAATGCCAACGAAAACTATACGAATAGCAGAAGATAATGTGACAGGGAAAACCGATAAGAAAGTGACCAAAACAAAGATTTTGAAATCTTCTTTGAAAAATTCCAGTGATGCATTTTGTCCAGTTGCTACAAGTATTACTGCATCAGTGAATTCAACTATTTCACAAAGTCAACCTGTTAAATATGATGCGAAAAATACTATGGCAAATGAAGTCGACGCTAATAATAATAATTCAAATAATTATAATCGAAAAGTTTCTAAAATGCCTTCGATGAACCGACGGAAAGTTAGCAAACTCTTTCAACGTAAAAGTATTGATAGTAATTTTTTATCATCTACAATTAGTATAAAAGAAATTAGGTAAATGGTTGATTTTGTTTTTAAAAATATGTATATATGTATATATGTGTGTGTAGAATGAGTTATATTATTTACTTACTTACTTACTTACTTAATTACTTACTTATGCACTTACTTACTTGCTTGCTTACTTACTTACTTACTTACTTACTTACTTACTTACTTACTTACTTACTTACTTACTTACTTACTTACTTACTTACTTACTTACTTACTTACTTACTTACTTACTTACTTACTTACTTACTTACTTACTTACTTACTTACTTACTTACTTACTTACTTACTTACTTACTTACTTACTTACTTACTTACTTACTTACTTACTTACTTACTTACTTACTTACTTACTTACTTACTTACTTACTTACTTACTTACTTACTTACTTACTTACTTACTTACTTACTTACTTACTTACTTACTTACTTACTTACTTACTTACTTACTTACTTACTTACTTACTTACTTACTTACTTACTTACTTACTTACTTACTTACTTACTTACTTACTTACTTACTTACTTACTTACTTACTTACTTACTTACTTACTTACTTACTTACTTACTTACTTACTTACTTACTTACTTACTTACTTACTTACTTACTTACTTACTTACTTACTTACTTACTTACTTACTTACTTACTTACTTACTTACTTACTTACTTACTTACTTACTTACTTACTTACTTACTTACTTACTTACTTACTTACTTACTTACTTACTTACTTACTTACTTACTTACTTACTTACTTACTTACTTACTTACTTACTTACTTACTTACTTACTTACTTACTTACTTACTTACTTACTTACTTACTTACTTACTTACTTACTTACTTACTTACTTACTTACTTACTTACTTACTTACTTACTTACTTACTTACTTACTTACTTACTTACTTACTTACTTACTTACTTACTTACTTACTTACTTACTTACTTACTTACTTACTTACTTACTTACTTACTTACTTACTTACTTACTTACTTACTTACTTACTTACTTACTTACTTACTTACTTACTTACTTACTTACTTACTTACTTACTTACTTACTTACTTACTTACTTACTTACTTACTTACTTACTTACTTACTTACTTACTTACTTACTTACTTACTTACTTACTTACTTACTTACTTACTTACTTACTTACTTACTTACTTACTTACTTACTTACTTACTTACTTACTTACTTACTTACTTACTTACTTACTTACTTACTTACTTACTTACTTACTTACTTACTTACTTACTTACTTACTTACTTACTTACTTACTTACTTACTTACTTACTTACTTACTTACTTACTTACTTACTTACTTACTTACTTACTTACTTACTTACTTACTTACTTACTTACTTACTTACTTACTTACTTACTTACTTACTTACTTACTTACTTACTTACTTACTTACTTACTTACTTACTTACTTACTTACTTACTTACTTACTTACTTACTTACTTACTTACTTACTTACTTACTTACTTACTTACTTACTTACTTACTTACTTACTTACTTACTTACTTACTTACTTACTTACTTACTTACTTACTTACTTACTTACTTACTTACTTACTTACTTACTTACTTACTTACTTACTTACTTACTTACTTACTTACTTACTTACTTACTTACTTACTTACTTACTTACTTACTTACTTACTTACTTACTTACTTACTTACTTACTTACTTACTTACTTACTTACTTACTTACTTACTTACTTACTTACTTACTTACTTACTTACTTACTTACTTACTTACTTACTTACTTACTTACTTACTTACTTACTTACTTACTTACTTACTTACTTACTTACTTACTTACTTACTTACTTACTTACTTACTTACTTACTTACTTACTTACTTACTTACTTACTTACTTACTTACTTACTTACTTACTTACTTACTTACTTACTTACTTACTTACTTACTTACTTACTTACTTACTTACTTACTTACTTACTTACTTACTTACTTACTTACTTACTTACTTACTTACTTACTTACTTACTTACTTACTTACTTACTTACTTACTTACTTACTTACTTACTTACTTACTTACTTACTTACTTACTTACTTACTTACTTACTTACTTACTTACTTACTTACTTACTTACTTACTTACTTACTTACTTACTTACTTACTTACTTACTTACTTACTTACTTACTTACTTACTTACTTACTTACTTACTTACTTACTTACTTACTTACTTACTTACTTACTTACTTACTTACTTACTTACTTACTTACTTACTTACTTACTTACTTACTTACTTACTTACTTACTTACTTACTTACTTACTTACTTACTTACTTACTTACTTACTTACTTACTTACTTACTTACTTACTTACTTACTTACTTACTTACTTACTTACTTACTTACTTACTTACTTACTTACTTACTTACTTACTTACTTACTTACTTACTTACTTACTTACTTACTTACTTACTTACTTACTTACTTACTTACTTACTTACTTACTTACTTACTTACTTACTTACTTACTTACTTACTTACTTACTTACTTACTTACTTACTTACTTACTTACTTACTTACTTACTTACTTACTTACTTACTTACTTACTTACTTACTTACTTACTTACTTACTTACTTACTTACTTACTTACTTACTTACTTACTTACTTACTTACTTACTTACTTACTTACTTACTTACTTACTTACTTACTTACTTACTTACTTACTTACTTACTTACTTACTTACTTACTTACTTACTTACTTACTTACTTTTTTACTTACTTCCTAATACGTGTTACCATCAATGGCACATGTGACATTGGCCAGTAATCTCCAGCCTACTTTGTCCTCTATCTTCCTTTACAGTTCTAAACAATTGGTGTTCGTTCATTCGATGTCTGCTTACAATTCTCAGCGAATGTATTCTCTAGTCCTTTCCTTTTTTTTTGACCTTGGGGATTCCAAGTTAGTACTTGTCTTGTGATGCAGTTAGGTGATTTTCGCAATGTATATCCTATCAATCTGACGAGCTTCTTCTTAATTCCTCCGACTGCTGGAATCTGGTTTCTTTTATCCCACAGTAGACTGTTACTGATGATATCTGTCTAATACATTCGAAGTATTTTGCCCAGATGGCTGTTAATAAACACTTGTATCTTCCGAATGACGACCTTCAAGGCTCCCCAAGTTTCTGCATCATACAGTAGACCTTTATTAATATTTTTATGAAAAATACTGACTTTGGTGTTGCTTGATCGCAGTTTCGACAGATTAAAATGATATTATCATTATTAATATTTTTGATAAATGTCTCCAGTTCTATTTTGGTTTTGTGTGAAACTTGTATAATTTTGTTTCGAAAATTGATCTAAAATTTTTTAAATACTGAAAACTCGTTTTTTAACTTTGCAACAGTGTAGATTTGTAAAAAAGAAATCGCACTGATGTCATCCATTGATTATTACGCAGTAAAATGATTAGGTCAGGATTCTGTAACGGAAGTGTAAGACGTCAACTGACATTATACTCCATTTATATTACACTTTTCATTCGTTTTCACTTTCTCGTTTGTGACTAGAGAACACAGGGGAAAACTCCAACAAAATAAAAATTGACATCGATTCACGAATTATATAAAATAAAATATGACTTCATTTACATTGGTATTCTTAATCTTCTCATTGATCGTTATATCCATCTCTGCTTCTAAAACGGACATTATTTACTTACTTACTTACTTTCGCCCGTTCCTCCATATCGAGCATAGGATCCCTACCAGTTTTGTCTAACCTACTCTGTCCTGCAATTGCCTTTCCAGTTCCATCCGATTTTCGCTCATCCTTCTCATATCTTTCTCTATTTCTCGGCGTAATGTGTTTCTTGGCCTTCCCCCTTTGCTCTGTACTTGAGGGTTCCGAGTGAGGTCTTATCTTCTGACACGGGAGGATGCTTTCCGCAATGTGTGTCCTACACACTACCAGCACTTCTTCCTGATTTCTTCCTCTGCTGGGATCTGGTTTGTTCTCTCACTTTGTAGGTTGTTGATGATAGTGTCCTGCCAACGAATCCGAAGTGCTTTGCGTAGACAATTGTTAATGAATACTTGTATCTTCTGGCTGATGTCATTGGTAATTTACCAAGTTTCCGCCCCATTATTTGAATAATACTAACAATTATAATGTAAATTTAATTATCTTTCATTTTAAGAGCTGTTTAACCGCAGTAGTTTAACAGTTACTGTGCTTAATTTTATTAGTGAGTCTGTCTTTCATATCTAACATACATATTTACATACTTTTCAGTACTACAGCTTGATTCTCTTTGTCTTTTTTCAAAATTAATCTTTATTTTACAGGAAAGCTATCAAAGCTATTATATTTTTGATGCCATTATTGGGTTTTTCCCAATTAATATTCTTAATACCTTATAGTAAAGAATTTGGTCGAGTATTTGATTATATCAATGCAATTATGCTTTCTACTCAGGTAAGATTATACCATATCGTAAAAGAGAGTTTACTTGTTAGGAATATTTTGATTCAAACGTAGTATATCATAATATGACTATCTGTCAACAGAGTATTTTATGTTTTTACACATTTGAAATCATCAATCAATCATTGTTAGACCAAAATTAGAAACCTGGAACGGCCGCTTCGTCCTGGTATGGGACTTATCAATAAAAGTAAGCATCCACGACTCCCGCACCTTGCAGGATTCGAACCCAGGACCTTCGGTACTGGATGCCGGCCCAGTGGTCCGATGGTTAGGCGTTTGCACACAATACTGAAGGTCTCGGGTTCGAATCCCGTGAGGTGCAGGAGTCGTGGATGAGCACTGTTGATGAGTCCCATATCAGGACGGAACGGTCGTACAGTTGTTCTAGGTTTCTAATGTTGGTCTTACAATGGTTGATTGATGATTTCAAATGTGTGAAAAAACACAAACCTCCAAAACTCTGCCCCAAAAAAGTATTTTATGTTTTTCAATGAACTAAGACTTTGACAGTAAAGTTGAGGTATGTTTATGAGTTAGTTACATTGTCAGGCATTAAGTTGCTTCGCAAAAATCAAATCTCACTGTTCTAAGTTGATCAATCAACCACTTAATAGCATACCTCTCATTTCAAGTGAAAGTCATTGGATGGAGACTTAATCGTTTGAACTTATTCAAATTATTCTGTCCGAGACTAATTTTTTTCATAGATTTAATTGTATAGATTGTTGTGAGTAGGATTTAGTGATGCATTTTAAACTTAGAGCTAACAGTTACTCAGTGCAACGAAGTTGATATTTGGAAACGTTTGCCTTTCGAAATAGAATCCAATTAAGGCATCAAAATATCGAGAATTCAATGAAAAACTCCCGAATATAACATTTTTTAAAGTAATATTTATTCATTGATATCATCGGACCTTCATGTAATGTTTGCTGTTTTCCAAAAGCATATTTGCTAAAATCTACCCGTCCAATATGAATGAACTTGCCGTAATTAGTCTCCAAAAATAAAATTTTCAACCAGTAAATCACGAATTCAAACAACTCACCACTTTGAGTTATACATTTAGTTAGTAAAATTATACAATAGAAAAGACATTATTCGGTTGCTAAATTACAGTGAATATCTACAATCGAATTCAGTCTCTTTTATTTAATACTTTGTAAATGGTTAACAGAGCTACCGGAATCCCTCGAAAAGAATTCTGTCATAATATTCTCTACTCGTCAAATTTAAATTTGCTCTTTGTATGAGTATTCCAAATACCCCCATTTGTTGAAATGTCATCAGACGTTATCATTCAACTACCTAAAAATATTATTCTACAATAAAGTTGAGTAGTAGTGTGGTGCGCGCTACTTATAAGTAGTATATGACGTGCGTGAAAACGTAATGTCTGGCAGCAGAAGATGGGGGAAGATCAAGAAAGCGAGAGCGAGAACACAATGGAATTTGTATGAAACGCATGAATAGTGACAATGGATTGATGTTTTGCAATAGGAACAGTCCAGTTCGATAATGATGAACTTATATTTTGCAAATGAACGATTTACGATATGGTTTTCCGATTTTACTGAGTAACTCTGTAATTTTCGTTAAATACAATTCGGTTGCCCCACCTGTATTCTCGTTCACTACAGTAGTAGTAGGTAGTGGATTTTAGGAAGTGTGTTGCTTGGGATTCGTCAGCTTGATTTGGTAGAATCTCAATGCTGCTGTTTACAAACTTGGATTCTAAACTTACACCCTATGCCTCAAACGCCAACGCCTTATCCACTGACCTAATGTGTTCAAACATCACCCAACAGTCAAATTCGATTTCTAAATATTTGTATCTTCTATCTGATACTTATGAATTTTTGACAGTATCAATCAAAAAAGTTTAGTTCACGTGTTTTATTGTTATATACAGTCAGTCAGTCAGTCAGATGCAACGTAGAACTTTGTACATAAGTACATCAGTTCATGTTGCCATACCACATCAGCACAGAGAAGTAATCGTCAATTCAAATCCAACAGTAGAAGAGGTAGTAAGGGAATTAGAAATAATCGGAGAGGTTAGGATTAGAAGATACTATTCAAGAAGTATGATTCAGTGAGAAAAGTTTAGAGAGTCAAAACTAGAGGGGTTGAAGAATCCAGAAAATTAGCATTTGAGAGAACACAGAGAATAAATGCACCGGCGCCATTGCGAACGATTTTGAGCCATGTCATTCAAGGTCTCTAGCCATCGATTATTATCATCTCGCGGACCCCAACCAGGTAGTCGACAACTACCGACATGGCTAAGTCCACTTGTCAATGACTTCATGGATTTCTGCCATGTTTTGGTTTGGCCGCCCCTAACTTTCTTCCAACCTATTCCCACACTACAAAACAAGGCTCGACGAGGCAGCCGGTGGTTCGGCATACGCAACACATGTCCCAACCACCTCAACTGGTGAAGTTTCAATACTTCATCGATTGATCTGCCATTCTTACCTAGCACCCGATTCCTAATAACAGCGTTGCTCACTCGGGTGTCCCACGATATACGAGCAATGCTTCGAAGACACCTATGATCGAAAACCAGTAACCTACGAATATCTTCTACTCTCATTGGCCATGTTTCACAGCCATAAAGTAAGACGGAGCGAACCACTGCGCAGTACACTCGTCCTTTAGTCAGCAAACGGATATCTCGCCTACGCCATAAGTGACGCAGGTTGGCAAAAGCCAATCGAGCCTTCTGTATCCGAGCTGAGATTTCGTCAGTCACCAGGCCATCAGCACTGATGAGACTCCCAAGATAAGTGAAGCGGTCTACACGTTCGACTACTTCACTCCCTATCACTAGTTCAGGTGCCAATGCAACCCAGTCTTGAAGCAACATTTTGCATTTCGAGGGGGAAAACCGCATCCCGAACATGCTTGCATTGTTGCTTAGGTTAGTCAGAAGACTCTGCATTTTGTCAGCGTCTTCACCAAGTAGGACTATGTCATCGGCATATTCTAAGTCAATAAGCGAGCCACCTGGAAGAAGGTCTACTCCTGAAAATTCAGACGAGGATAATGTTAACTCTAGGAGCATGTCTATGATAAAATTAAACAAGAATGGAGAAAGTGGACAGCCCTGACGGACACCACTTGATGTAGGGAATTCCGGTGACAGTTCGCCATAAGCCCTCACCCGACCAGTGGTGTTCGAGTAGAGAGCTTGTATAAGGTTAATGTACTTCTGTGGTACACCTTTCAATGACAGACACTGCCACAGAACCTTACGATCAACAGAGTCAAATGCCGCCTTAAGGTCCAGGAACACAATTATTGTCGGACATCTAAATTTGTGTCTATGTTCCAGGACCTGTCTGAGTGTGAAGACGTGGTCTATACAGCCACGTCCAGGTCGAAAACCAGCCTGGTTTTCTCGAGTCTGCTCTTCACGAGCTTTCGTTAAGCGTCGAAGTATTATTGAGGCCAATATTTTAGATACTATATTAGTTAGACTTATTCCCCTGTGATTGTCACATGAAGACTTTTGTCCTTTCTTATAGATTGGGACAATCAAGGATTGAGACCAGTCGGATGGGATTACGTCCAGTTCCCAGATTTTACCTAAGATCTCAGTCAATCTAGCTGCTAAAACTCGACCACCATCCTTAAATATCTCAGGGGTCAGTCTATCAGGACCTGCAGCTCGTCCTCGTTTCAGATTTCCTAACGCTTTCTCAACATCATTAAGACTAGGGGGACTTACGTCGATTTGCCATTCAGGATGACTGGAGATCGTGGGTAACTGAAGAGTGGCTCGTGGCCAGTTGAACTGATCCCTAAAGTGTTCTGCCCATCGATCCAGTCTCCTGGATTGAGAATGGATGATAAGACCATCCTTTTCCGAGATAGTCTCACTCACATTCGGGTTCTTAATACCGGTTTCTTTGATAAGGCGGAAAAGTTGTCTAGTGTTGCCTATCGCCGCTGCCTTTTCCATCGCTTTTGCTTTCGCCACCCACCACTGTTCGCGGTCGTTACGCAGACTTTTTATAAGTCTGCGCCTAAGCTGACTACGCTCTTCATCATGCTCAGAGTCAGGTGGGATGATTGTTATATACAGTAAAAATCTAAAAAATCTCAAAACGATTTGCTTCTAAGCTATACTTAACAAATATAGCTAAATCGTAAAGGACAGATTCAACGACCAACCACAAATAGTTTTAGTCGGATTTCTCTTAAATCTTATTCTCTAATCTACTTTAGAAAACTCTGAACACTGTTTGAATAAATATGACATGCGTTTACTGTATGTAGTGATTAATCCCACATTGAAAACTTGATAGGTTTTTTCAATCAGTTGGAAAAATCAAAGGTCTTACACAAAAACATCATAATATAAAGGAGAATAACCAATGAGCATTTAACACAATCAGTCAATTAATAATTGTACAAGCTTTTTTATGCTACCCATGGTTTGACAGAAAGACAAATTATTTGACGGTACCGCTAATATTTTGCTATTTTTAAAAACGATTAGGAAACTGATCCTCATTTTGCGAAATTCTATGGATGCAAATGGCATATTTAAAACCTATTTATTTGTTTAAATAATTGAAATTCAGTATTAAAAACATTGATATTATCGTGGTGAGACTTGATCACTAGAAACATGAACACCGAATTCATGAATACAACACTATCGTCCTTCTTTCATTTAACCTATTTTTATTTAAGTATTCGGTCTCAACAGAAAATTCTCAAATATAGTAGTGACTGCTTTTTTCATTAATGGTATATATTACTTACATTACGGGGTTGTGAAGATTATTAAGTTACACACTTGGAACCATGAATCGATCACTGTTAGACCACCATTAGAAGCATGGAAGCACTGGACGGCCGTTTCGTCCTCGCATGGGACTCCTCAGCAGTGCGCATCCACGACTCCTGCACCTCGCAGGGTTCAAACCCAAAACCATCGGTCTTGTACACGAACGCCTAACCTCTGGACCACT